CTCTGATTCAGTGGGGTTTATGAGGAGGGAGAATGGACATTGCAAACAAGCTCCCCAGAGGTTCTGATGTAGGTGATCTACAGGCCACTGACTGACTTTTGGGCGTAATATATTTATGGTTGCCAGTTGAGCTTTGAACAAAGTCATGTCTGCATACTTCTAGAAAGTGCCATTGCCTACGTTCTATCTCTGAATGTAGGCAATGCCTCTCTTCAATTGGGCAGAAATTCTTATCTGCCTGGGAATCTTCCTGCACATTTTCAGAACCAACTCCCTACCTCTGAGCTTCCCCGTCACTGGCCCTCTAAAGCTTGCTTTGGTTACCTTTATGGGTGTCCATTTCTTTGGAATTCTGGGAGTTAATCATCAGCTGAAGAAAATCCACACGGTGCTGGAAGCAGAAGGGGAAATTTCAATGACAGAAAGTCACTAGTGAAGTCAGAAAAAATCATGAGTGCAGCACTTAACCTCTTCCCTGAGAGTATGGCCTGTCCAGAAGTTTGACTAGTGCTGCCTGAGTCATCAGTAAATAAAAACATCTATCTGCAAATGAAATCCAGCCATCATGTCCAACTGCTATTTGGTTTTCACTGTCTCTGATCTTCAACTTCTCTGGTTTTAAACACAGCTTTCTCACAGAAGACTTGCCTGCTCCCTCTCCTATCATGTCTGCTTGCTCAGAAAAAAAAGTCACTGACTTCAATCCTTTTTTTTCCTCCAGCCTTAATCTTTAATGAATGGCCACATAGATTAAAACTCTGACACTTGCAGAGTTCATTGGCAGCTTTTCCATGAGCAGCTTCAAATGCCCCACCCTCCCAGAACTCTGAACAAACTTCAGTGACATCCTTGAGTACCCAGCCCTGTCCCCCTGAACTGCAGACATTCTAGTGCTGGCCTCCAGGCCCATTAAGGCAAAGCTTCAATGCCCAGGGAAGACTACTGCCTTTTCCAGTCTCTAGCAGGCTCAAATTTAACATAAATTGTATTCCATCAGGTGGAAATTCATGGGACTTTCCATTGCACAATGTGTAAACTAAGGTTTAGTGTTGATGTGATTCTTTGCCACTGTAATACTTGGGGAAATTATAATACCAGAGAAATAATTTTTAAACAGTAATTCTTTCCTTTAACAATTTATTGAAGGGAAGTAGTATATTTTTTATCTCAATAACATTCATGCAGTGACATACTAATTGTTGGGTCTATTATTACATTATAAATACTATCTCTCTGACTCATTTTCTTATTTCCTTCCTAAACCTTTACTTTCTTTCTTTTTTTNAGAGACATGTGCAATAAATGCTTATTGTTAATATTCACTGAGGCTTTTTTATTTTTACTTGGCATTATTATGGTAACAGATAACTGATATGCCATAACAAGCAGTTTTTTTAAAGGTCTTATATATATGTGAAAAGCATACATACCTATGTTCCCCACCCCCCTTTTTTTTGTCTTTTTAGATCCTTCTTAAATAGTGCCATGGAAAGAATTGATGCTTACACCCTTTGCAAAAATTCTAGGAAACAGTTAAGAGGCATTCTTGCTAAGGCTTCTCTTCCTCCCTCCCTCTCCAGGTATCATCTACTCACCTTATTTGGGAAAGTTGTATCAATCTCCTCCTGTAGTTTCTGCTGCACATCAGGGTGAGTGGCCAAAATATACATAAGGAAGGAAAGAGAAGTACTAGTGGTCTCATAACCAGCAAAAATAAAGATAATAGATTGGGCCACGAGCTCCAGATCAGACAAACCTAAACGGAGAGGAAAGACACTTTACATAAAGCAGGTCAATGTACATTATCACAGTTTCAATAATGAAAAATCTAAATGAAACTCCCAAAGCTTAGGGGGAAAATTGGAAAAGCAATTCAGAGTCAAACTGGGAGTGGTTTGCACACTGATGTGCATCTTACAGAGCCAGAAAAAGGCAAAATTATCTTAATCTAGCTTTTCCCAAGGGCTATACTATTCTTGGCTATCTGCTCTGGGTTATGCCATTCTCACTACTAACACAGATGTGTAATTTCAGACATAGCATTTTTGTGCAACACACAGTGTGATCAGTATGTTCCTTGAAGAACCCAAAAAGTAGTTTAGCTACAAGTGATATGGAGTGCCCTTCTTCCTCAGGAAAATTTAAATTTTTCTGGCTAAAATACACTTGGAAAACTTTGAAAGAATTTGCAATACTAAGGCTTATGCAGGGGAAAATTAAAGGATCTTGTATCTAAACATGTTTGCAGGAACTTAAGAAAACAACATTGGGCTACAGATAAACTCTTGTGACTCAAAGTATGGTCCATGCAGCATCAGCCACATCTGAGAGGTTATTAGAAATACAAAATCTCGAACTCCACACTAGAACTATTGAATCACAA